CGATATATATATATGGAAGAATTCACATAGGGATAGAAAGAAATAAAAGAGTTACAAAATGCATTGCAGCTGTATGGTGTAGGTAGAGTAATGGTTTCATACTTAAATTAATAAAAAAAAGTCAGATTACTTGAATGATTAAAAATATTAATTGGGTGATTGTCAAGATTGACGCTTATGATTGATTACTAGAAATTGCAAGGAGTAAATTGAACCAAGTTTGTTTGGCTGGCAAGAAAGTCACAGAAAATGAACACTCACCAACTCTCTGTCTCTGACTCTGCATCCACTACACCTAAATAATTTATTCTAACTTGTTCAATTTTCTTTCTTGCTGTTAATTCCTTTAACTATATTTTCGTTTGATGAAAATTAAACTTTTAAATAAATTATTAATTTTTAAAAGTTTTACACTTACCATTTGATCCATTAGTATTTTTTATTATTTAATATATATATATATATGTTTGGATTCTGTATATATAATTCAACTGCTCCTTAATGTTAAATCTTAATCTTCATTTCGAAACAAATATAAATAAGTATACATAAAAAGAAGGTGTGTGCTTCAGGTTATATAATGAGCAAAATATATGGAGAGTAGTGGGCTACCATATTTAGTAATATATGTACTAATTGGCTAATATATATGATATATATATATATATATATATATACATGCCGGTAGTGAATCGATATTTCTCATATAATTAATAATTAATTAAGAATTTTTCATAAAATTATAATAATACTTGTCATTATCACAAGAAATTATATTGGTTAATGTTAGGAAGTTGACAAATTAATGATTAAAAAAATGTATTATGGTGATCATAATTGAGAGAGAAATCCCTATATATACATGTGCTTATTCATGAGCTAAGTGTATAATCCTCTTCCTCCAATTCCCTTCACTAAGAAAACAACAATGGGGAATCATATAATTTGGTCACTCCTGGTGGCCGCCATGGCAATGTACCTGGCGGCTCGTGAGGTATGCGCCGTGGAAGACCAGCCTGATTTTTTCCACCACCCTTGGCCGCTTCCCAAGTGGCCTTTGCCGCCACAATTTCCTTACCATCCCAAGTATCCTCCGCCTTATGTTCACAAGTCTCCACCACCACCATCTCCTTCTCTCCATCCCCCATATGTTCACAAGTCTCCACCACCACCATCTCCATCCCCTCCTCCACCTTATGTCTATAAATCTCCTCCTCCACCATCTCCATCCCCTCCTCCTCCTTACATCTATAAGTCTCCTCCTCCTCCATCTCCATCCCCTCCTCCTCCTTACGTCTATAAATCACCACCACCACCATCGCCATCACCTCCACCGCCCTATCTATACAAGTCTCCACCTCCACCATCTCCATCTCACCCTCCACCTTACATTTACAAGTCTCCTCCTCCACCATCTCCATCTCCACCTCCTCCTTATGTCTATAAATCACCGCCACCACCGTCGCCATCACCTCCACCGCCCTATGTATACAAGTCTCCACCTCCACCATCTCCATCTCCCCCTCCACCTTACATTTACAAGTCTCCTCCTCCACCATCTCCATCTCCACCGCCTCCTTATGTCTATAAATCACCTCCACCACCTTCGCCATCACCTCCTCCACCTTATGTATACAAGTCTCCACCACCTCCATCTCCATCACCACCTCCCCCCTATATCTACAAGTCTCCACCTCCACCATCTCCATCGCCTCCTCCACCATATGTCTATAAATCACCACCACCACCGTCTCCGTCTCCCCCTCCACCTTACATTTACAAGTCACCTCCGCCACCCTCACCGTCACCACCTCCTCCTTACATTTATAAGTCTCCACCTCCACCATCTCCGTCACCACCTCCACCTTACGTCTACAAGTCACCTCCGCCACCTTCACCATCACCACCTCCACCTTACGTCTACAAGTCACCTCCGCCACCTTCACCATCACCGCATCCTCCTTACTACTACAAGTCTCCACCACCTCCTTCACCTTCACCTCCGCATCATGTATACTACTACAGCTCTCCTCCACCTCCCCCGGTTTATTAAACAGATTAAATTCCACTTCTCTGTTGATTATCATGCACGTAAGTTGTGCTTGTTATGTATATAATTTATCTTATTAAATATTTAATTTAGCCTTCTTGTTAATTTATCTAATTATCATTGTTCTACGTAAATGCAGGTTATGAATATTATTTGATTGAAAAAAAAAAATTAATTAATAACTGTTTGCAAGCAATAATCATATTCAAGGCGGCCTCCTTTATATATACCACGTACAGTATGAACACTACGTTTACTGCAGCAAAGAAGGAATGTCTACGTGGGTTATCAAGCTTCATGGAGCACCTGAAATTATTTTTCTTCTAAAAGATTGTTTTCTTTACTTGCATGTAATAATTTTTTTTAGAGATTTTAAGAGTAATATATAAATGTAATTTTTATGTTGAATGTGAAATCAATATATATATTAATTTTTTAATAAAATATATATATTTTTACACTTACGTAAATTAATCATAATACAAATAAATAATCTCCAAACAAAGACACAGATGAGTTTCGAAAAGTTAAAAATAAGCGTAGATTTAAACATTCTCAAAATTATTCAGAAAGAACCGTACAAATTATTAAGTAAAATAATAATTCGTTATAAAATAAATAAATATATTAATTAAGTGATATATATATATATATATATATATATTAATTACGACAAATGTCTAAATAAGGACATAAACGAACGTACAATCATACTACACATAAAATTCATTAAATAAGATAATGGTTCCTTACTAAATATATATATTTCCAACAAAAGTTTGGGCAGGTCAAATATGATAATTTGTTTGAGCCTGCATTCGTATAAACCTGATCATTTATTAATTTGGAGCAACCATGTATATCACTCTGTGCGTGTGTGCATACGCATATATACATATATATATATATATACACACACGCACACACACATATACATATACATATGCATATACATATACATATACAGAAACATAATGTTGTGAGACTCAGGCCAATCTTTGAAATAGGCTAAGATCATATATTAATCCTTACTAAGCTCAGAACCATCCACAAGCCTTTCTATTGGAATGGGCCTCAACATTGCTCTTTTAGAAACTTGACGCCGTGGGCCCGCCTGATGAGGTCATTAACCGCGGTGTTGGTTTATATTTCTTCTTCCCTTTCCTAGCAAATTAAATAATAATAATAATAATTAATAAATAACAAAATAATAATAATTTCCATTAATTTTGAGATTAACGTCTGTTTAATTTTCATTTTAAAAAATTAGTATCTGATTAGAGAAATTTGGAAAAATTTATTCTATTTTCTTCAAGATTTTTTATGTTTTATTTTTAAAAGGATTTTATTATGTATTATACTGAAAAAAGTAACAGTTTATATTTTGGCGACTTTTATTATGCGTTAATTAGTTGAAGTGAATTGTAACACATACTTAAAATATAGAAACTAATTATAAAACTTCTGAATAAGTAATTTGATTGTAATTAGCCGAAGACTTGGTTGCGACCTTATAATCCAAAACTCCATTCTCTAGGAACCAAGCTAATTACTCGTTAATTACTTGTGTTTCTTGGTTAATTGATGGTTTTGATTCATATGTTTCCTATTACTTCTTGTTTGAACCTTGATAGACATGTATCTAAATTATAAACATACTTTTAATTAATAATTAATCAGTAATCTCTAAAATAATAGAGTAATTAGTAAATAATTATTACTACCTTCTCGGATATGTATCAGTTCAGTATTTACACGCGGTTTACTTAATTATTAAGTTTATACGAAACTCATTTTGTATTATACATATTTAAATTTACTATTTGATTATATTAAATAACACGAATGAACAACATGTATGAATCATATTTCACTGCGTACTTGAATAATACAATACTCATGAATACTTTATCAAAAAATTACAATATTGAATACATCATAAAAATGACATTACTATAAAGGATATATATAATTATAAATATATCCACTTATTATTCACAAGAAACAGCATTGTTATATAAGTAATACTTCACACATCTAGAGAAGAATACGAATAATGCTTCACACATTGGAGCAAAATTGTTATTCTTAAGTAAAAATTAAATGTAGTGATGGAAAAACTTATCCTTGATCCAAAAAGGGGGTGAAGAAATAGTTATCAATATAAACTAGTTTAGAAATATCCTTTTGGAGGTGGTGGTGAGGAGTCATAGTAACGAGGAGAAGGATGAATTGGCTTGTAGTGAGATGGGTGGA